CCCCCCTCCCCCCCCCCGCGCCCCCCCCCCCAAACCCCCCCCCAAACCCCCCCCATTCACCCCCCGGCCCCCCGCTGTCCCCCAGACCCAGACCGTGATGTACGAGCTGGTGTCGGAGCTGCAGGAGCGGCACGAGGAGCTGGAGAAGCGCCTGGGGGCTCTGGAGGGGCAGCTGGAGGCGCTGGGGCTGAGCCTGCTGGCCCTGCCGGGGCTGGTGAGCCAAGCCCTGGGCCAGCAGCAGCCCCGGGGTGGCGAGCAGCAGCCCCGGGGTGGCGGGCAGCAGCCCCGGCCGGGCCAGCAGCAGCAGCAGCAGCAGCAGCGGGGGGAGCTGCTCGGGCCGTGGCCCCCCCGGCTCTGCTCGGCCACCGCCCCCTGCACGCCCCGCAGAGACCCCCCCCGAGCCGGCCCCGACAGCCCCCGGCCCGCCTCGGACAGCGGCTGAGGAGGGGCACGGGGGTCACCTCCTGTCACCTCCGGTCACCTTCGGTCACCTCCTGTCACCTCGGAGAGCGGCTGAGGGGTCGTGGGGACACCCCCGGGACACCCCCGGGACACCTCGGAGAGCGGCTGAAGGGGGGGACACCTCCGTGTCACCCCCGTGTCACCTCCTGTCACCTCGGAGAGCGGCTGAAGGGGGGGACACGCTCGGGGGTGGATCGTGTCACCTCCTGTCACCTCCTGTCACCTCCAACAGCAGCTCAGGGGCGCCGGGGACGCCCCCGGGACACCCCCGGGTCACTCCCCGGACACCCCCGTGTCACCTCTTGTCACCTGTCACCCCTTGGACTGCGGGAAATGGGGCGGGGGGGGCCGGGGGGACACTTGGGGGTCACCTCTGTCCCCTTCCCTGTCCCCCCCACCTCTCTGGACTGTGAATTATGGGGTGGGGGGGGCCTTTGGGGACACCCCAGTGTCCCCCTCTGCCACCCCCCCGACACTTTGGACTCTGCGTAATGGGGGGGGAGGGGGGCTTGGGGACACCCCCAGACCCCTTTGTGCCCCCCCCACACCCCGGGACGCGGTTTTGGGGTCACAAATCTCTTTGTGCCCCCCGGGACGGCGGTTTTGGGGTGCGGGGGGGGGTCACAGCCCCCTTTGGACCCCCCCGTGACGCGGTTTTGGGGTTCGGTTTTGGGGTCACAGCCCCCTTTGGACCCCCCCGTGACGCGGTTTTGGGGTCACAGCCCCCTTTGGACCCCCCCGTGACGCGGTTTTGGGGTTCGGTTTTGGGGTCACAGCCCCCTTTGTACCCCCCCGTGACGCGGTTTTGGGGTTCGGTTTTGGGGTCACGGCCCCCTCGGTGCCCCCCCCACCCCTCGGCGCGGTTTTGGGGTGCAGGGGGGGGGTCCCGGGTGGGGGGGGGTCCCCGTTTATGTCTGGCCATCGTGTGGCCGTTCCCAGTAGCTTCGTTCTGGAAAGCTCTGTATAAACTTCCTGCCTTCACTGTGCTCGACCCCCCCAAAATCCCCCCCCGGACCCCCCAAAATCCCCCCCGGGACCCCCCAAAACCCCCCCCCGGGACCCCCCAAAATCCCCTCCCCTCGCTGGGGGCCTCCAGCAGCGCTTTTTTATTTTGGGGAGGGGGTTTGGGAGAGGGGAGGGGACAGAGGGGACAAAGCAGAATTTTGGGGGGGGGGGGGGCGGAAAATTGGGGGTGGG